GCAGCGTTATTTAGAGAAACTACTTGACATCAACAACATGGACCTGTACGACCTGCTACAGAATGGACGAAAGACCCAAAGCACTACCACCTTTCACATACCCTGACATAGTCAATTACTGGGTTTATGGTATCTGTGCCTAAACAATTGCTGCCTACACATTGCAGGGACGGACTTGGACTAAAAAAAACTGCCTTGGACTTTGACTAGACCCGGCCTAAAGCAATTGGTGTGCGGAAACTCGACAACAACAACGCCTGCCGCCTGGCATGAGTGTCACAAGACTTTAATTGTGGCTCATAATACTATACCGTCCAAATTCTAGCTAACAGCATAATATACACTCTATTCCATGCTGTCTTTAAATGAATGTATTACATAATAATCTAAATTAATTTATGCAGTAATTAATCTTAGCTACTGCATAAATAATAATGCCACATTTAAATGAAAATAGTCTACACCAATTACAAATGTAACTTCTGTATCTTCAAAGTTTGTAAGTATTAACTGTAAAGTTACCACAACATATTTCTTTTTGGCATGGGTTAAGACATGCTTTTTTGGGCTCTTGAATAATGGCGCAAATATATCTTTAGTAAATTCTGACAATATTTTTTTTTTTGTTTCTGAGTAAATCTGGCCCTATAGATCTGCTATGCATACTTCTGCCATAGCGCAAGTAAAGAAATTCTATTGCAAACAGATTCACAGACACCACTGTGAGCACATAAGATATGATGCTGCATGAATAGACAGGCTTAAATCCTGTAGTATATCTAGGCAGGTGGAGCTGGGGGAGGTGGAGGGTGCATAGAATGAAGCACTTATCATCAGCCTGTGCCATATAGAGTTTTATGACTGAACTAGATACTTAGCAACTCTTAAAACCAGATTAAGTCACCTAAAAATTGTGTTGGATATTAAAGTTTGTTTTAATAGAATATTTAAAGAAATAAATAATAATTTATAATTAATTGGGTGAATTGGAGTTACACAGTCTCATCCCAAGAAGTCATATAACTGACGTCTTGGGACGTCTTTTCAACATCCGCCTTTTTAGGGTACCCTTAAACGTCGGTTACATGACGATCCCGGGCTGTCATACAACTGACGCTTTACCTTTAACGTCGGTTAGGTGACGGGTAGGTTTAGGTCTGGGGTAGGGTTAGGGTCCGATAACGTTATCTAACCGACGTTTAAGGGTACCCTAAAAAGGCGGATGTTGACGTAGGGTCAAAAGATGTCCCAAGATTTCAGTTATATGATGTCTTGGGATGAGACTGTGCTGATTGGAGATGCTAAATACGTTTACGGGAGTCCTGAGTGAGTCATGGGGAGGGTAGGGGAAAGACTTGGCAACCTATCCCAGAAAAATCATCATAATTTCTGTGAAAAAGAATTAATCTAGAAAAAAGTTGTTTTATTGCCTAGTGTTCATTTCAACTGTAAACTGCATAGACTAGTGTGTAATGATACATTTCGGTTTTCCAACGAGTTGTACTTGGGGGTAGTTTCATAGATTAAAGGTGTTTTTCTGTGTGTGTGTGTTTGTTGAAGTGGCATGCCAACCTCTAGTTAGAAACTAGTCAATGATTGTGACGCCATTCTATGCTATTCTATAGTGAAGAAAACATGACTTGGTGAATTTAAAAATGTTCACCCGTTGTTTAAGGCCCTGAAATTTTTTCTTCTTTTCTTGTACTGGGTTCGAGCATTACTTCTTTGTTGTCTCTCCGGACTTGTCTCTCTTATGATCTCAGTGTATCGATCAGCACTTTATGTCTGACTCTTCTCCATTCCACAACCTCAAACAGATCTCCAATCTCTATTTGCCACAGTTGTTAAGTCTCTATTCAAGCGCCAATCACCAAAAGGACTTCTATTTCAGTGAGAGTGCCCTTGTCTTTTCTCAATCTTTGTATCGAAGAGACAGGGCAGATAAGAGAAAACAAAAGAGACATACTATTGTGATGCCAAACGCAGTGCACTTTCTTAAACTCTCAGTTTGCAGAATCTTTCGCCTGGAGACATATTGGGAGAGAAACCTTGGCTTGAAGGGGGGTGGAATGGCGATCACATAAGCTTTCCTTTTACCCCAGGACATCTCACGTCTACCTCCTGCTCAACCGTTGATCAGGTTAGGGATGGAATACTGATGAAATGCTCATAGAAAAAGACAATATGAGTTCTTTAAAGAATCTGAATTCCAAACCATTGTGTCTGTGAAATAGGCTACACCATGTGTAGTCTTCTGTTCTTTCCTTTGATGATTTGTTTCACAGTTAATCATTTATGGCATCATATTTTCTATGCTCATTAGGAGTGTCTGATATGTGTGTGTGTGTGTGCAAATAGATCTTGATATCCATATACTTACTGTGAAATAATTGTTTTCAATCAAAGGTTTTTTTTTTAAATATTAAAAAAATATCAAGGTATGTTTCTAAAATTAATGTTTTAATTTAAAAAGAACTGTTGACTCATTCACAGAAATAGATTTCACGTATTCTAACATAGTTACTGAACCAAGCTATTAAAGGATTAGTTCACCCAAAAATGAAAATTCTGTCAGTATTTACTCAACCTCATGTTGTTCCAACCCCGTAAGACCTTCGTTTATCTTCGGAACACAAATTAAGATATTAAGATCACTCCTGCATACTAGTCCATAGGGTTCTTTTAAAGTCGTAATAAAGTCGTTATTTTTGTTTGTTTTTGCGCACAAAAAGTATTCTCGTCGTTTGATAAAGTTAAAATTGAGCCACTGTAGTCACTTGGACTATTTTAACGATGTCTTTGATGACTTTTCAATGGCAGCAAGAGTCATTCCCTCAAGAAGCCTATGGACAGTATGCAGGAGCGATCTTAATATCTTTAATATCCTAATTTGTGTTCCGAAGATGAACGAAGGTCTTACGGGGTTGGAACAACATGAGGGTGAGTAAATACTTACAGAATTTTCATTTTTACCCTTTAAAACATGTCTGAATGCATTCATTCTCATGATTTGCAAGATAATGACAGCATTCTTTGAAGGCGCATTGAAGTCATGATGTTGCCTAATTTTATATTGCCAGCAACAACATCAATAAAATATTGTTTATTTTCAATAATGTCATCCAGCCCTAATCATACTTAAACATGATTTCTCAAATTGTGGAGTTGATATGAAGCCAAAAGGTTAATTTATACATAAGAAATACCCCAATGCTGTGTGCACATTTAACAACTTACAGATGTTGAAAACCCAGTTCAACAGGGTGTAAATCTGTGTGCTTATCCTGTTTCTGTTCCAGTGTGATAATTCTAATTTCAGACCAAACAAACTATTGAGAATTATTCTATTACTTTAGTTATTTTTTGCTTTAAAAATAGTTCACATGTGAACCTGCAGAAATTACAACTTCTTTCAACAATCTAACCCTAATGATTGGTCAAGCTAAAATTAAAATATTCATTACATTGTGACAGCGTCACAAAATAAACCGTGTGAACCTAAACGGAGACTTCTTGTGGTGTCTCTGAGGCTAAGTGTTCTCATGCTAGAAGAGCGACTGTTGATTATTTTATTTCTTCCAGCTTTTTTGCAAATTCGGGTGTTTTCATAGTACAATAATCGTATCTTAAAAGTTCAAGAAAGAAACCTGGTTCCTCAAGATATGACACTATAAATGGCTAAATGTTGTAATGACTATATTCACATTTATTAATTATTTTATTGATCTCTGAGTTTGGAGAAATCTTCAGATTGAGGAGTATCTAACAAAGCTACATTCGCTGTCTCTGAGGGACGGCATGAACAATGCAATTAAATTCATTAGTGGAGTGAAGCGGGAGGCTCCACCAATCAGACTCTGTGAAGTGGTTACAAAAACAATTCACCTCGTGAAGGATGGGAAATGGATTTGTTATGGCAGAAGTCCCTGCAGGGGCAGAAGGATCCTGCTTGAAGAGAGAGTGGATATTTGAGGACCGAATTAAACTGACATGATGGGGAACTGCACAGATCTACACACAACACAGTTTGACAATTGACACAAGAACAGTAAAAGCAGTATGAGAAGTCAATGATTTTTCATGAATTGGGGCAATTACAACTTAGTCAACATACAATTTTCAGCAGCACGCACACCATGTTTGCTGAAGTCAGAGAAGACCTCATGTGGTGTCCTTGTTCTGTTGAAAATGTGTTGCCTGGGGTTTTCTTTCTTGCTGCAGATGCATTGCTTGCCCAAGGTGTCAAAGCTTGTTGGTTGCATGACCAAGATTTTGGTATCCTGACACTGTTTAGTGCTTATGGGTGTGCTGTTTGCTGCAGGATTTGAATGACAAGCAGTGTCTTAATGAATTAACATAATGAACAAAAACACAGCCGTATAACTGTTTATGATATGATTGCTCCTCCACTGCACTCTTTGTTTTTGTATGTGTGACATAAGGTCAGTCATATGTTGGAATGGCTTTTTTATACTCTCCACCTTGATGAACCTTTATCACATTTATCATCTCTGTGTGTATCTATATTTATTTTAGCATAAATAAATATAAATCTTTATTATAACGGTAACACTTTACAATAAGGTTCATTAGTTACTACATTAGTTAACATTAACAAAGAATGAACAATACTTATTCAGCATTTGTTAATCTTTGGTAATGTTAATTTCAACATTTACTAATACTTTATTAAAATCTTGTTAACATTAGTTAATGCACTGTGAACTAACATGAACAAACAATGAACAGCTAGATTTGTATTAACTAATGTTAACAAAGAATAACAAATACAGTAACAAATGGTTAGATCATGTTAGTTAATGCATGAAGTAATGTTTAATAAATGAACCTTATTGTAAAGTGTTACCATTATAACTTATGCAAGCCACATCACTGATACACTATATGCCGACACATTTCTCCGATATAATAAATTCCCACCAATTATGGTAGGATATTATGTAATATTTTACTTTACTGCCTTCTTTTTCTGTTTCCAGGTGGTGAAAATGATGATCATCGTTGTGGTGACTTTTGCGATCTGCTGGCTGCCATACCATGTGTATTTCCTGGCTACGGGATGGAACAAGGAACTGCTTAGACCGAAGTTCATTCAGCAGATCTATCTGTCAGTTATGTGGCTTGCCATGAGCCCCACAATGTACAATCCCATTATTTACTGCTGCCTGAACAGCAGGTAAGACTCGAGTGCCACAACAACAAAAGATTAATGACACAAATGTATTTTTGTCAAAGCAGCATGAGTGTTGTTGCCACTTATAGTTGCATGAATAGGCCTTATCATACAGTAATGGACACCCATAAGATGTTGTTTTTTTGTGTGTGAATACAATAGTACTCCTAAATCAATTATTAAAATGAAAGTGTAATTAATAATCAGTCCAAGTGATGGACGGGGACATGAAACAAGCTTCACTGAATTTCCTCATTTTTTCAAATTTTGACCCCACGATACTTGAATAATTTGTTAATATCATGAACATATTTCTCATTATTTTTCAAAGATATAAAATGGATAGGTGTATTTGTACAGACATTTTAAAGGGATAGTTCTCCAAAAGTGACAATTCTGTCATTATTTCCACTTCTCCAGGTTGATTTAAACATATATGCTGAAATTTAAAGTCATATTTTGGAATGACATTTGGATGAGTAAATGATAGATCATAGATGACAGGTAATAAGATGCACTTAATGTCATGACAACAGCACAACTATCATTAGAAACAACTTTAGAAAACGACTAAGAAAAAACACTCTCGGGTATTACATTGATAACAAAGTATATATCCCTAGAATTATTTGTGATGTGTATTTTGAATTGGATATCTAGGAATTATTTAAGATGAAAGACCCATTTTTGCCCACTTGAACATGTACTGTGAAACGCACATCATTCCTTTCATTTCATGGCCATACAAAATCAATGGCATGAAATATCTTTCTCGGGTTTATTTAAAAGCTCACTCTACCATACTATGAGAGCATGTCTGTACATTTAAGATCCTCATAAGATATAGCTAATGACCTTTATACAGCTCTGTAGCCTTTTTTTTTTTTTTTTTTTTGGGGGAGCACTCTACCATTTGTAGCCTGGCAACCGTTGCTATCCACCATTAACTTGATCAGGCTGGGACATTGACTTCATGTAAATGCACCACAGATGGAAAACATGGCTAAAATGCAAGACTGGATGAAAAATACCCCACATCTAATTTCTTCAGGTCCCATTTGGCTTAGTTTACAATGACTCCAGTACTAGCATAACAATTTACAACCATACACTATTCAATAAGCAGAAAACTAGACATAGCAGGATCATTATCAATCAATGAGTTGAATATTGTTGGGGGGGGGGGGGGGGGGGATAACTGCTGTTTAATGTACCAGACAGTATTTGATTATTTAAAATACATGGCTAAGCTTGTTATGCTGGCAGTAGCCTCTGACACCTAACCTGTGATATTGGTTTTCTCTGTATTTTGTGCAGTCACTCGAACCTAACAAATTGATTGCTTTTAATGGCTTTTGGTCATTTGCAAAGGTATTTAAACCCTGTTTAAACCTCAGAGTAAAAAATAAAAAAGTAATTGTGAGATAATGGGCCCTATCAAACACTCGACGCAATGCGGCACCTGGCGTGACGCAAGCGTTTGCTAGTTTCAGCCTGACGCAGTTATCATTTTCTTGTCTTATGCCGTGTTGATTAAAAAGCAAATGCATTTGCCTCCATTTGTGCGCCCATGGTTGTGCTGGTCTGAAAACAAGGTGTGTTCAGGCGCATTGTTGGCGTGTTGCTATTTTGAGGCAACTTAAAAAGACTGCACCATTGACCAACTTAAACCTGGTCTAAAGTCAATGGCTCAGTATTTATTTTTTGTTTTTTATTTACAGCACCTTAGTAATGTGAGCTTATAGGTGGGGCAGCCGCACACAAATGAACCAAATATTTAAAAAAATAAGGATTACAATGTAAAACACACCAATTACTCATTAAGAGAATAGAGACAACCCTTTTAGACCATGCGATGGGCATGACGACCATTTTTTTTCTTTTCTGTGCGCTTTAGACTATGTGCTTAGATTGTTAAAATAGGGCCCAAATTTTACCACAAGAAATAAAGTCACGCTGTGAGATAAAAATGTGTTGCAATTGCAAGTGAGAGATACAATCCTGCATAAATCTGCAATAATATAGCCTTTTTGCCCATGAATTTGTTCAGTTTTTAATTGTGTTTATTCTCGTCTTGGCTCAGGTTTCGGGCCGGCTTTAAACAGGTTTTCCGCTGGTGCCCGTTTGTGAGGGTTTCTGACAACGACGAGCTTGAGCTGCGGGCCATGCGGCATAAAGTAGCGCGCCAGAGCAGCATGTACACACTCTCACGAATGGAGACCACCGTTGTCGCTGTGTGTGACCCCTCAGAGCCAACCGCCCACCCAGGCCGGAAGAGCCTTCTCAACCACCAGCACAACGGCTGCTCCAACCCAGCCAAGAGCAAAGAAGTAACCTATATGCAAAGTGACCCGAAGGAGGAATTCTGTTGAGGTGAACTTTTGATGTAAGATTCACACTGAAGTATCAAGCACAGCCATTTTAATGAACCTCATTGCAAGGGATGATGAGAAGTCATATCTTTAATTAAATTTGCTAATGTATTACACTCACTCAACCAGCATCCTCATATAGTCATTTTTTAAGAACTGTATTTCATGGAACATGCCTGGTGTGCTTTGCCTTGAAAACTTGAGAGTCGCCCCCAGCTCTCATCATCACAAAGACCAATATTGTCCAACATCTGAGGAGCACTTTGTCCATACCAGAAATTGTAGCTAGAGGTTCCCTTTGATGCCTATCAGGTAGTCTACTGTTTTCTTTCATCATGTGGTTAGCATGCTACATGAATGCCAAAGGTCCGATGTGATTTCTCCCTGAGGCTAAACGCTCAATTCTTGTTAAAATTTCTCATGTCTGAAATGGTTTATCCTGAGCAGTCTGAGTAGGTGCATTTCCAGCACAATGTCAACTTGGCTGAATTGTGAAGTAAAATTAAAACATTGGTTACACTTTATTAGAAGGTGACGTAGTTACATTGTACTTACTGAACTAAGCACTGAATAATATTAATTAACTACATACTTGTATGTACTTACTATAGAGTTAGTGTTTGGTTTAGGGTTAGTTGCTTGTATTTATGCATAATTTGCTGTTATTGCTATAGTGAGTACATGTAATAATGTAACCTGTTAACAAAATCATTGATTTGACTGATAACCTGAGTTGGTAAAACCAATTGTGCATCAGTTGAAGATAGAGGCTGATAATAGCATGCTACTTTGTATGCATATTTTCAGTTTGCGTGGAATAACTGGACGAACTGTTCAGAGAGCAATGAGTGGGAAACTCTATCCCAAAATGCAATGCGCATGACTCCTCATGACCTTTCATTTCAAAGAGCCAGCGGTGTTCTTTGTTGTTACTTTGCTTCATTGATCTTCTGATCAAATTTTAATGTTTCCTTGATAGCAGGATGCTACTTGCTGAATTAAACATGCACAGAGCAATGTAGCATGCTACTCTTTGAAATATGTGCATAACATGTACTACTGTTGCACATAATATTTGATCAAAAATACACCAAACAGTAATATTGTAAAATATTATTACAGTTTGAAATAACTGATGCAAAAACATTATTTATTCATGTGATGGCAAAACAGCCATTACTCCAGTCTTCAATGTCACATGATCCTTCAGAAATCATTCTAAAGGCCAATTCACACTTTACGACAGGCAACAGACACTTCGTCAGGTTTTGTCTGATAAGTGTGTTACCCCTGACGGTGTCAGTTTACATCTGTCGGAGTTTGTTTTTCGCTGATTGAACATACTGAATCTGCGCTTTTCGGGTTGTGGAAAGTCTGGGAAGTAACGCACTGTAATTTGGTGATTGTCTGCGTTGGTCAGCATCTGTTGGTGCAGTGTGAATTGGTCTTAATATGCTGACTTGGTGCTCAAGAAACTATTAATTTGTTTAAAATGGCTTACTGACTCAAAACTGTTTTTTAATTTTTTTTTTTTATGATAGCAATCGTATGCTGGCTGGAACTTAATTGAAAGGCTTAAGTGAAATGAACTCTCATTTTATTCCAAATTCACTGATACAATCTTTAAAAATAAAAAGCTATTTGTATACTGATATGGATTAAAACCTACTGGTAATCCGCCAAGCAGATATGGTTAGTTAATCGACTAATCTGAAAATGGCTACATACTACGAATAATGGTAGTGTAAGCGGTTCCTCTCATGGGAACGTGACGTTATATCGTGGCCACACGATGTGAAGTCATGGCCTAGAAATGTTGAGGGAACAACATTTTACTTGTGGCCACAAGTTTAATGTGTAAACAGTAGTAATAGTGTCCACATAGCCAGGTTTTTGTTATCTTAAGTCAGGTAAGCCACAGACACTAAAACTGGTGTGATACTGTATGGTCTGTTAGATTTCATTGGTATTGCATGATTACTTGTATTGTTATAATCTTATCAACCACACTATCAGTTCCCACAACAGACCTTCATTCCTTTACACCAATACCATAATTCTCTTTTCTTTTAATATATCCCAATCTTTGAGTTATTTTTGTCGATTCCACCCCTTGCTTCTTATTTTTCACATTTTTAGTTTGAAATTTTGGTTTGAAACTCTGCCAGCAAAGCTGGTGTTTCCTGTGTACTCTTCAATGAAGCTTTCAGCTGGGCAACAGTCAGGTGTCGGTTTCTCAAACTTGAGACTGTGATGTGTTTGTCCTCTTGTTGCTGTGCATTGGGCCTGTCCACTTTCTGTCCTGGTTAGATCCATTTTTTTTTTTCTTCTTTAAAGATAGTAGACATGGAATAGCCTTCATTTCTCAAAAGAACAGACTGATGAGTTTCTGGAAAAATATGTTTGTGTCTGGCCATTTCTAAATATGACCGACCAATAGAATTCAGCAACTGTGAAAAAGATATTGTATTAAATTTTCCACATGTCATTGAGCAGCACAGACATGTGCAATAATAATAAAGAATAAATAAGAATAATACAAAATGTTTATTGAGAACTAAATAAGCACATTTAAACGGTTTCTTAATGGCTTTGCATGTATCAAGTAAAATTTTTAATTATTTCAAAAAGCTTTAATAATTTTAATAGTCAAAATAAATGATTGTTGTTGTCAGTTGTATTGTGTTGTTGCACCTCATTGTAGTTTTGTAAAATAAATAAGTAAATAATTAAATTAAAACAAGGTTAAAGATTGAAATGGAGGAAAACATTTTTCCTGGTGGAAATGCCAGAGTCTTTCCTTGCCTGACCTCAGAGTGATATAAGCGCCCCATTTAAATGGTTGTCTTATCTTGTCCTTGGGTTGTTTTCCATGTTTTTTCATGATATGCTTCTAGTCTATGCTACTTGCTTTGGCTTTTTATTTTATACTGTGTTACGGGAATCTAGGACTGGATAATTCACCCAAAAATGAAAATTGACACCATTTATTCACTCTTGTGTCACTCACAGTTACCACTGACTTAACATAAAAGAGACATTTCTCAAAATATCTTCTTTTATGTTCCAGAGAAGAAAGAAAGGGTGGATGAATAGGGGCAGAATTGTCCCTTTGGGTGTTTTCTCTTTATTATTATAGATTTGCATACTCCCACTTGAAGGCTCTCCAGCAGAGGATATATTTTCCTCAATGAAGGGAATTTTCCTCAATTTCCTTCACTTTACCCATTTAGAAGCAATTGCTCAGTAATCCACCACTAACAAACACAAGACAAGATCCATAGCTAGCCTATCCTCAGGTATTGATCGGTCAAGTCTGAGGAGTGCTGGTCACAAACTTGAGCTCTTTAGTTGTACCTTAGAAAATATGTCTGGGGGCCTTGGTATATGCTCTCCCTCACTGCACCACGAATTGCAAGTTTAATGGATTTTTTTTCCAGGTGAGGAATGCCAGCTGTGGCCCTTCAGATAAACATGACCTCTTCTCACTGCGTGCATGCGTGTGCTCTCAGACACATATGCATAAATGCATGCATTCATGCTGCATATATTTATCATAATATAGTGATTTTTTTCAATAGCTGTTTTTTTAATGTTTGTGTTCTTATTGTACATTTTTCATCATGGTAAAAGTATGTGTTACATTAATGTGCGTATGGCTCAGAGTTTAAAGTGGTGCCAGTCAAAGAGGTCTCGTCTTACGGACATTTTGATGATATGCCGGTCAAATATCGCCTCTTAATTGGTCAAGTTGAGGAAAACTTAAGGCAGGCTATGTAATTTAAAAAATGACATAATCAGGCCATATTGCAACATGTTATTATTAGCCTAACTTTCAAATAGATAGAAAATAACATGATCGTCCGATTGGCGTCAATCTAACACAGTCTCATCCCAAGACGTCATATAATTGACGTCTTTGGACGTCTTTTGACCATACGTCAACATCCACCGTTTTAGGGTACCCTTTAACGTCAGTTACATGACTATCCTGGGACGTCATACAACTGACGCTTTACCTTTAACGTCAGTTAAGGTGATGATGTAGGTTTAGGTCTAGGTTGTTTAATAACTTTCAAACAGTAGAGTCTGTTCCTTTATAACATAGCCAAAGGTCTGTGTATTTTTGTTTTATATATTTTAGGCTTAATCTCAATTTCATATTGTGTAAGGGGGGTGGGATTATTACGCAATTTTAATCGGACAATTTTACCGTACAGAGTTAATTTTGTCGGACGTTTCATTTTTTTCCCCGGCCAATGTTCGGTAATTCCTGGACAATGGATGGCCATAATGAAAGTGTGCCTAATATAAATTAATAAAATAATTGTTTATTTACAGGAATAAGTATGTGAATATCCGTAAAAACATTGATGATATATATATATATATATATATATATATATATATATGAAGAGTTCAGATGCAAAAGCCTCTAAATGCCATTTGAAATTTTCTTCTTTAATGATGATTTTTATCAAACGTGTATATTTAAGTTCAGTAATTTCACTTAAATGGCAATGATAATTACCTATTAATTGTTATTTAAGTGAAATTACTGAACTTAAATATGCAAGTTTGATAAAAATCATCATTAAAGAAGAAAATTTCAAATGGCATTTAGAGGCTTTTGCATCTGAACTCTTCATATATATATCCTTTTTTTTCTTTTTTTTTTCTTATAGCAAATTGTATTTGAATGATTTCTGTAGGACCATGTGACTCTTAAGACTGGAGTAATGATGCTGAAAATTCAGTTTTGCTAACACAGGAATAAATTACATTTTTAAAATATAATACATTTTAAATAAATGCAGCCTAAGTGAACCCCAAACTTTTAGAGTGCATTTCACTGTATATATATATATATATATATATATATATATATATAGATATATATATATAAACTTTAAAATGTGATCCAGATTGTATACCTTTATGAACATGGACTCAATAACGTGTGTACAAATAATATAGGTTAATGAATCCCACATAGACAAAGAGACAATATCAAAGAACATCAACTTTGTCTTTTGATGTTCTTTGAACAAAGCACGTCTGGCATTTTTGTGGCCTGATTTCTTGTCTCTTTCAGCTCTTTCAAACATTTGCACATGTCCTTTAAGTGACTTTCCTTGACTGTTTCAAATCTTTTTTTTTTCTTACCTTTTCAGTGTTAATTTTGGTGATGTTTAGTACATTGCATATCAGTAACCTTTCATCTGTGAATAGCCGCATCACTGTTTTAGACAAGCCTTTAACCGAACTTCTTGTAAATAGGACAATTCACTTGCCTTGTGAATGTGCTGAGACCATTTGAAAGTATTAATCATGAATGTAAAACATCATGGACATATTTTGATAGTGTCGTGCATTCTTAGTATCTCTAAACAATAACAACAAATCATGCCATTTTCAACTCCCAGCAGTCTGAGTGAACCATAGAGAATGTGTCAAACGTGTCAAAGCATGTGAAGAGTTCAGATGCAAAAGCCTATAAGTGCCATTTGAAATTTTCTTCTAAAATGATCATTTTTATCAAGCTTGTATATTTAAGTTCA